AGTAAACACGAAACAGATGTATAAGCTCTGTGCTCCCTGCCATTTTGGGCACTTGAGGTGGAGTGTCCATTTTTAATATGAACTTACTGTAACCTCATGAGGCTTATTCAGTAAGCCCTATTGAAAATGGACACCGCCACTCCCTTCAAGTCCCCAATATGATAGAGTGCAAAGCATTTCTGCATTAACTCATCAATAAACAGTCACAGATTTTTTGGGGATTGATTTGTCGTCAAAAATGTTTCAACTTATACACAAGTATGCATGGTAATAATAATAATAATAATAATAATAATAATAATAATAATAATTAATAATACATGGCATGCCCCAACTCTGGCAATCTTTAGGAGGAGCTTGAAAACGTGGTTGTTTCAGTGTGCCTTCCCAGAATAAGGAAACTCCCAGCAATATGTCTCTCAATGCACTTTATTAGTGATCTAGGATTGTCTGTACGCCCCATTCTTTTCCGAAATTCTATCCTAGTTATATTTCACCTGGTCTTGCTCAGCATTATTTTTAAAATTTAATCATTACATTTGGCCCAGCCATATTTTAAATGTTATTGTGTTATTGTTGATGTTTACTGCCTATTTTTTGTTTATGAGTTTTATTTTATTGTTTTGTATTACTGTTGTTGTTGTTTTTACTGATGTATTGTGTGCTCGACCTCATGTAAGCCACACCAAGTCCCTTGGGGAGATAATAATAAAGTTTTATTATTATTTATTGTTATTTATACCCCACTCCATCTCCCCCAGGGGGACTCGGTGCAGCTTACATGAGGTCATGCCCAAAAATACAGTAACACAGTATTATTTATTTATTTATTTATTTATTTATTTATTTATTTATTTATTTATTTATGCGCTTGTATACCGCTAATATCTCAGCCTAAATCGGCGACTCATTGCGGTTTACAACACTTAAAAAACAACAATATTCAGTTTAAAAGCATAGAAACACATATACAATACAAATTATTGGGCCACCAATAATAATCCAAATGCATCTCGTAACTGGAATCGCAATCCAAATTCATCGTCTATGATCACCAATCCTTTAATCATCAGAATTCGTTGCACCGGATTAACCGAATGCTTGTTCAAACATCCATGTCTTCAGTCTTTTTCGAAACACCATCAGCGAGGGGGCTGATCTTACCTCTATGGGGAGGGTGTTCCAAAGCCGAGGGGCCACCACAGAAAAGGCCCTGTCTCTCGTCCCCGCCAGCCGCACCTGTGAAGCAGGCGGGATAGAGAGCAGGGCCTCCCCAGAAGATCTTAGGGTCCTGGTGGGCTGATAGGCCGAGATACGTTCGGATAGGTAAGTTGGGCCAGAACCGTTTAGGGCTTTAAAGGCCAACGCCAGCACTTTGAATTGAGCCCGGTAGCAGATCGGCAGCCAGTGGAGCTGGTGCAGCAGAGGAGTTGTATGCTCCCTGCGCTCCGCTCCTGTTAGTATCATGGCTGCCGAGCGTTGGACTAATTGGAGCTTCCGGGCCGTCTTCAAAGGCAACCCCACGTAGAGAGCGTTGCAGTAGTCAAGACGGGATGTAACCAGAGCGTGGACTACCGTGGCCAAGTCAGACTTCCCAAGGTATGGTCGCAGTTGGCGCACAAGTTTTAACTGTGCGAATGCTCCCCTGGTCACCGCCGAAACCTGGGGTTCCAGGCTCAGCGATGAGTCCAGGATCACACCCAAACTGCGAACCTGCGTCTTCAGGGGGAGTGCGACCCCGTCTAACACAGGCTGTAACCCTATACCCTGTTCGGCCTTGCGACTAACCAGGAGTACCTCTGTCTTGTCTGGATTCAATTTCAATTTGTTCGCCCCCATCCAGACCGTCACAGCGGCCAAGCAACGGTTCAGGACCTCGACAGCCTCCTTAGTAGCAGGTGGAAAGGAGTGACAGAGTTGGACATCATCTGCGTACAGATGACATCGCACTCCGAAACTCCGGATGATCTCGCCCAGCGGCTTCATGTAGATGTTAAACAACATGGGAGACAGTATTGAACCCTGAGGAACCCCACAAGACAAAGGTTGTGGGGTTGAACAGGAGTCTCCCAGTAACACCTTCTGAGACCGACCCTCGGGGAATGAGCGGAGCCACTGCAGAACAGTACCTCCAAGACCCATCCCCGCGAGGCGTCCCAGAAGGATACCGTGGTCGACGGTATCGAAGGCCGCTGAGAGGTCGAGCAGCACCAACAGGGACACACTCCCCCTGTCGAGCTCCCGACGCAGATCATCCACTAAGGCGACCAAGGCTGTCTCGGTACCATGCCCCGGCCTAAAGCCAGACTGTGCCGGATCCAGATAATCCGTGTCTACCAAGAATGCCTGGAGTTGTGAGGCCACCACACGTTCCATGACTTTGCCCAAAAAGGGGAGATTGGAAACAGGCCGATAGTTGACGAATTGAGTGGGGTCCAGTGATGGTTTCTTCAACAGCGGTTTTATTACAGCTTGCTTTAAGCTGGCTGGAATTTTGCCTTCCCGAAGGGAGGCATTAACCACCACCTTCACCCACTCGGCCAATCCCCCTCTGGCCTCCTTTAGAAGCCAGGATGGGCAGGGGTCTAGGATGCATGTGGTAGCTCTCATTCCTCCAAGCACCTTGTCCACATCCTCGGATTGAACCAATTGAAATGAATCCATCAAAACCGGACAAGCAGATGCTCGTGTTACATCCTCAGATACTGCCGTTAATATGGTATCCAGTCCAGAGTGGATCAAAGCGACTTTGTCTGCAAAGAACTGAGCAAAGGCTTCGCAGCGAGCTGCCGAGTCATCAGGGCACCCATCCTGAGTGGTGGGTTTTAATAGGCCTCTGACAACTCGGAACAGTTCGGCCGGACGGTTCTTTGCAGACGCAATAGTGGCCGCGAAGAAAGTCTTCTTTGCGGCTTTTATTGCCGCGGCATATGCCCTTAAAAAGGACACAAACCGTGTTCGATTTGGCTCGCTCGGATCCGAACGCCACACGCTCTCTAGTTCCCTCTTCTTTCGCTTCAACGCTGCCAGCTCCTCGGTGAACCAAGGAGCTGGTTTAGCTCGGCTACTTGAGAGGGGACGTTCTGGAGCGATCGTGTCTATTGCCCTAGTCATCTCCCCATTCCAGAGAGCGACCAGAGCATCAACAGGATCACCAACCGAGGTGGCGGGAAATTCCCCAAGAGCCGTCAGGAATCCATCCGGATCCATAAGCCTCCTGGGGCGGACCAATTTAATGGGTCCTCCACCTCTGCGGAGGTTAGGGGGTGCAGTGAGTCTAAAGCTGACCAGGTGGTGGTCGGTCCATGGCAACGGAGAGATGGATAACTCCTCAACACCGCCACCTTCCTCCCATCCCTGGCAGAAAACCAAGTCCAATGTATGTCCAGCACTGTGGGTGGGGCCAGATACCTGTTGGGACAGCCCCATGGTTGCCATGGTAGACATGAAGTCCTGAGCCGCTCCCGATAGGGGCCTCGGCATGGACATTGAAGTCCCCCAGCACAAGCAGCCGTTGGGACTCCAATGCCAGGTCCGAGACCACCCCCGCTAGCTCAGGCAGGGAGACTGTAGTGCAGCGAGGTGGACGGTACACTAACAGAATCCCTAATCTGTCCCGGTCACCCACCCTCAGGTGGACGCATTCAAAATTTGTTGACTGCGGGATGGGGCCCCTGGTCAGAAGAATGGAATCTCTATAGACCACTGCAACTCCGCCTCCCCGCCCTCCGGATCTCGGTTGGTGCTGCACAGAGAAACCTGGTGGGCAAAGCTGGGTTAAATGTACACCTCCCGCTTCGTCCAACCAGGTCTCTGTGATGCACGCCAGATCTGCCCGTTCATCCAGGATTAAATCCTGGATGAAAGTTGTTTTACCGTTGACAGATCTGGCGTTCAACAGCACCACTTTCAATTCGGAGGGACCGCCATCCTGGTTACACCGACTTACCAAATCAGGAGACCGATTTGGAATTACTAATGTTGTTCCACGTTCCCTAGGCCGAATTAAAGGTCTCCCTTTCCCGTATCTCCCCCTCCCCACCACGACTTCTATGGGGGCTCCCCGGCTAACGGAACCCTCTCCCTCCTCCATGACGCATTCGGCAGCCAAAGTATCAACCCGTCGTTCATTGTTGACTGTTTGGTATGTTATAGTTCCAGGTTGCCATAACACAAAATAACACAATAACACAAAAGCATAACAAAACCAGAAATGGTAACTAAGAACAGGCTACGATTTAGAGTGAAGGTTTTTTTTTTTAATCAGAAGCAACTCGAGAAACTGCAAGTCGCTTCTGGTGTGAAACTATTGGCCATCTGCAGAGACGTTGCCCAGGGGATGCCCAGATGCATTACCATCCTGTGAGAGGCTTCTCTCATATCCCTGCACGGGAAGCTGGAGCTGACAGATGGGAGCTCACCCCATCTCACGGATTCGAACTGCTGACCTTCAGGTCAGCCGGCACAAGGGTTTAACTCATTGCACCACCGCGTCTCCTATAGTCAACTGATGCCTCTTGGTTATGGCAAGCTACACCAACACAACAGATGAGGAAATCATGCAATCTCCCAGATGTTATTCAGTTTCACACATAGCTGAATGGACAAGGCTGCTAAGAGTTGCAACCCAACATCTGGGGAGTCACACAATTTTCACCCTCCAATAGGGCTTGGGGAATATGAAGGAATAGCTAGAATTCAGCTGCTATGCCTGTCAGGAGATGTGTCCACTTGGTTAAACAGAAGTCAGAGAGGTTTATCATTATCCAAGGTCCTACTTAGCGCAGCTCAGAAAGATGCAAAAGGAAAAGGGTCAGGGAGGTAAATGGTTTCAAGTTAACACCACAGCCAGATTCATGAGTGGATACAGTGAAAGGTTCTCATTTTCCAAAATCCATACCTTGGAGAGGGGAAAATTCAAATCACTGAGTGATGGAGTGGGTAGGATTTGAACAAGGAGACCTGGCTGGAGAGTGAGCCACATAATCACAGTGTCTTACCTGGTGAGCCCATGGGAAAGGCTGAGGACGAGGATTAACTGGATGTGGGAGTTCAGCCGAGCGGTGAATCAGAAACTGAAAAATGGGAACAAAAGAAGCGTATTAAGCCATGGCTGTGCACTACATTTATAGCTAGCTGCCCATGAACCATCCCGACCTTCTCTTCATCACAGCTTCAAGTCTAAGTACACACAAGGACCACAAAGCACATCCCAGGACAAGAGCGTCTGCCCTCCCCATTCCCACATATTTCTTCTCTGGATTGAGTCATTGTGACAGTGCCACCATACCCCATGTTTACTCACAAGTATTCAATTGGCTCTACTACTAGGTATAAACCTTAAAGTCACCAGATCCTGTCTGATCTTGGAAGCTAAGCATAAACACATCTGATTAGTACTTGGATGGAAGACTACCAACAAATATTATTTTTATTTTATTTTAGGACATACACATATAGAATTAATATGTGAAAGAAAATAATCTTCGTAGTGGTGGAGGAAATTGTAACTGTTGTGTTTGTATATGTGTATGTCCTAAAAGAAAAAAATATATATTTAAAAAAAATACCAGATCTTGTATTTATTTATTTAAAGCATTTATATTCTGCCCTTCTCACCCCGAAGGGGACTCAGGGCAGAGCACAACATATAAACAGCATTCAATGCCGAAACATGACCATACACATACAAAAGCATTAAAATCCCTTGACGTTAAAAACCTCAAGTTAGAATTGTCTCAACAACCATATTGAATTTGGTAGGCATACTAAGAGTTCCTATCACTGCCTCATTACACAGTCCCAAAGACTCGGTCCCACAGCCATGTTTTTATCATCCTTCTAAAGGACAAGAGGGAGGGGGCTGACCTGATCTCATTAGGAAGGGAATTCCATAGCTAAGGAGCAATCACTGAGAAGGYCCTGTCTCTCATCCCTGCCAAASGCGCCTCCCCAGAAGATCTTAATCTCCACAGTGGTTCATAGGGGTAATATTGTAGTCTATATTTTGGAGGAAGTAACTGACAAAACCATCTTCAGCTGTCAAAGAAAACCCTATGCAATTTATGGCATCACCACAAGCAATTAGAACACACCACAAAAGTATTTTATGGATGGCAGATTTGTCATGCCCCCCCCCCCAAAAAAAAACAACCTCATTGCCACATCAGTTTTGAGATTTTTCTGCCTTAAGCAAGGCAGGTTTAAAATTTGGTTATTTCTCTATATCAGTGGTTCCCAACCACTTTGACCAGGACCACTCTCATTAGTACCAAAGAGTTACGAATCAGTTTTTGGTCAACTTTAGATTAGGTTTGGCAATTTGGGGTGCTGATTCAGAAAACTGCATTGGATAGACCACATCAGCTCTAGTTTCTCATACAGAACATATGTCATCCAGTAGTCACCCACAGAAAACCTTATTTAATAAGCCTTGGCACCATAAGWGGGTTTTGCAAAACCAGTCACTCTCATTGCAATGGTGTAGTAACGCTGATTATGCTGGGGAAAATGGAAGGAAAAAGGAAGAGGGGCCAACCAAGGGCAAGATGGATGGATGGGATCCTCGAAGTGACTGGATTGACCTTGAAGRAGCTGGGAGTGGTGATGGCCGACAGGGAGCTCTGGCGTGGGCTGATCCATGAGGACACAAAGAGTTAAAAATGACTGAACGAATAAACAACAACAACAAGTAACGGTGAGGCCATGAACCATATTTTGATTGTTGTGGTCCACAGGTTGGGAACCACTGCTCTCTCTATATATGATTACAATATAATCTGGTACAACCCTATCCTTACTTTCAGCTGTGTTCAGGGAAATTACATCTTCCTCTTACGTCCCTTCAACTCTGCCATATAAAATCCAGATTATCCCCTTTGAACTAGATTAAATGGCAGTGTAGACTCACATAATCCAGTTCAAAGCAGATAATGTGGATTATGTACTTGGATAATCAAGATTATATGGTAGCGTAGAAGGGACCTTATACAGCTCTAATATTTTAAACTGAGAGTTAGTAGAGTATATAGTAGCTTAAGTTTTGGACTGATTCTGGAGAATGGGGGTCAAATCCCTACTCACTTCTGGAAGCCTGCTGGGCAATCTTGGGCAAGTCACAGCCCTTGAGCCTCAGAGGAAGGCAAAGGCAGACCATTCTGAACAAAGTAAACCAAGTAAACCCAAAAAGGACTCAAAGACACAAAACGACTTAAAAGGGACTGTTTCATTATTCCCCTCAAGATGGGTGGAACATTTTTTCTCTTCCTGATCTTGAGTCAAGGCTGATATCTCATCCCAGAACCAAAAACAGTATTGTTTGGCTCAATTAGAACAATTCTACTCAGATGTTCCTTGTAATACTAAAGCATTAATGCTGCCATTTAAAAGAGGGGAAAAAGACACTTTCTGAGCAGGTATAAGATTGTTCTACTCCAGCACTACTTATCACCTCTCAACCTCCCACACTTAGGAATAAAAAAAAAAGCTTAACACCCAGGAAGCCAGTTTCTAAACTAAGCACTGACTAATCTTAGAAACCATTTGTAGCTGAGAGACCAGTTTTTAATGCCGCGGGTCCTGTAAGGTGTTATTCCTCCCAAATCAACAAATGTTTAACTAGCTGCAAAGGCAGAAATAGTTCTTGCTGAACTCCAGCAACTGCATTCTTGCTGTTACTGTAAACGACTTTCCAGACAGGCCCTATATCCCAGGATCTGATCCCAGGTTTTCTGTTTATCCCAGATTATCTGACAGTGTGGACTCATATAATCCGGTTTAATTTGGAAAACCTGGGATCAGATCCTAGGATATAGGGCCTGTCTGGAAGGGCCATAGTTTGCATATTACCAAAACCAGAAGCAAACAACATGGAGAGATTAGTAGCTCTGGGTAGGTGCCCAGTTCTCCAAGTAAAATAACTCAACAAGGACCATTCACTTTCACAACTACTAGTTGGATTAATATACACAGGACATTCCTGACCCACTGGTGAATCATGCCCAACACTGTCTACTCTGGAAGCATGGGAGTCATTGGCCACATAAATCAATGAGGAGGGATAATGAGAACTGTAGTCCAACAATTTCTAGAGGGTCTGTTCTTGTTGTTGTTGTTTATTCGTTCAGTCATTTCCGACTCTTCGTGTCCTCATGGACCAGTCCACATCAGAGCTCCCTAACAGCCATGGCCACTCCCCGCTCACTGGAAGGTCAAGCCAGTCACTTCAAGGATACCATCCATCCAATCTTGCTCTTGGTCGGCCCCTCTTCCTTTTTCCTTCCATTTACCCCAGCATCATTATCTTTTCCAAGCTTTCCTGTCTTTTCATTATATGGCCAAAGTACTTCATCTTTGCCTCTACTATCCTTCCTTCCAGTGAGCAGTCAGGCTTTATTTCCTGAAGTATGGACTGGTTTGATCTTCTAGCAGTCCAAGACACTCTCAGAATTTTCCTCCAACAGTTCAAAAGTATCCATCTTCCTTTGTTCAGTCTTCCTTATGGTCCAGCTCTCACATCCATAGGTTACTATGGGGAATACCATTGCTTTAACTAAGCAGATCTTCGTTGCCAGTGTGATGTCTCCACTTTTCACTATTTTATCGAGATCGGTCATTGCTCTCCTCCCAATAAGTAAATGTCTTCTAATTTCCTGGTGTCTGCAGTAATCCTCGCACATAGAAAGGTGCACAAGGGAGGAATGGGCTAGGTACAGGAATGACAAAGTCTATTAGTAACAAAGAACTAAACTGAGTCTGAAACATTGCTCTACCAGCGCCTTGTTGTTCCAGAATTGAAAGTTCCTCACAGGTTTAACTGTGAAATAGAGGAATAAGCAAAGAGGCAATAATTATCGTAATTCAAGGTGAACTAGTAAGTCTTATGGCTAGATAGGGATGAGTAACTAAACCTTTCCCATAAAAATTATTTTTCCCTTTTAACTTTAATTAATAAAGCCCAGTCCGCCTGTATGTTGTTTCACAAGGATGCCTCACAATGTTAAAGTGGAATCCTATTACTATAAAAGTTCTGTGGGAATGGGTTTTCATTGTCGGCATAGGCAGCTGCCATGGCTCTGATACTTGACTGCTCCTTAATCCACTATTTTTATAAACTCCATTATCACACTAGTTCGACCAAGATTTGAAATTGGATGTGCAGTACCTTTGACCAAGTATCGATTGCATTTGAAATTCCAAGTTACACTAGCAATTGAGGATTCCAGCCCAGAAAGCAATCTTTCTCAGTTTGCCTCTCAGATCAATTTATATTGCAGTTTCATACACGCATTGGGTGCACCCCACTTTTTAATGTGTCTATCCAGGAAGGGCAAGGTGGATGGATGGTATCCTTGAAGTGACTGGCTTGACCTTGAAGGAGCTGGAGGTGGTCATGGCTGACAGGGAGCTCTGGTGTGGGCTGATCCATGAGGTCACGAAGAGTTGGAAGCGACTGAACAAATAAACAACAACAATACAGGAAGTCCCCAGATTGCTAACAAGATTGGTTCTGTAGGTTTGTTTTTAAGTTGAATTTGTAGGTAAGTCAGAACATTCACATTTTTAAGAGTAATTCCATCCGTATGTATGTATGTATGTATGTATGTATGTATGTATGTATGTATGTATGTATGTAAGTAAGTAATGTTTTGGATAGCATAGGGAAGGATTAACACCCCCATGGTGTTTGTTTTGCAGTCTATGCCCAGTTCAGAAGATTTCATCTCATTTTCTGTCCTTGTAATAAGTAGATTTTGAAAAAAAATGACTTATGGAAATAAGGATTGGTGATAAAGCTTCAGTGGAGACACCTTTTCCCCATGAAAACTCTTTCAGAAGTGGATTTCCCTTCTTAGAGGTAAATTTCCTCGTACTTCCTGTTGTCTCACCTCTGTTCTTAATTATGAATCGTATGTAAGTCAGATGTATGTAACTTGGGGACTGGCTCTATGAAATGGCCCTGTCATTAACAACTTATTCTAGATGATAGAATAGTGTCTGAATTTGATTTTGAATTGTATATGTTTGGTGTTAATAGTTTTTGTTTTGAATACTTTGTATATTTCTTTCTTTTGTG